TGCACTCTGGAAGAGATTTAAATAGCATTCTTGAGCCTTTTCACTGTATTCTAGGTCAGGAAGTAGAAAACATAGTGCGCACATTCCGATACAAATTTTCAACTCTTTCGACTGTACAAAAGATGAAAGATATTTCGTAGTATCAACGATTATTTTTCTTTATGTTTTAAAGCCATGTAGGTAATAAATGTGTTAAAATACTAAAACAATATTTATTAATTAACATTTATTCACCACTTAATTTTTTTAAAACACTGACTATAACGTTAGTAATAGTAGGCCTATTTGTAGTCTTAATTTAAGCATTAGCCTAATATGTTTAAACGTAATGTAAGGCTTAGCTAAAACACTACTTGGTAAATTATATTTTGCTTTTGGCTGCATCTCAATGTCATAAAACTTCTGAATTAAACTATATTGTTATTATATTACCAAAGTTATTAAAAAATAAAGAATAAAAAACAAACCTTTCTAACAAATCAATATGAATATTGACCATTCAACATAGCAACGTCGAGATCCAGCACTGGCCCCAGGACAAACATCCTCGCCGGGCCCCCTATCTCTCTCTCTTTTTTTAACATTTTCAAAAATCTATTAAAAAGAAGATCCAGCAACGAGCTCATAAACCAGACAAAATCATTATTAAGATTTTCCTAGTCATCAACAGCATTACAGCACTGGCCTGTACTCCAATTTTATTTCACTTTTTTAGTTGCCGTCTTTTTTCATTTCCTTTCTACAGCTGGGCTGTATTTGGTTTAAATACAGGTGATTAACTACATGTCTTCGTTCAGTATTGAGCGGTTAATCATTTGGAAAACGAAAACCTGTCCAAGTGCGTGTTAAACTCTATTGTTAATTACTTTCCCTAGTAACAGACGAGACAGTGTTGTTACAAAGCATACAAACACAGCAATTTGAATATCATTGAAATATTACAATTATATTGTTGTTTAAGACTCATAATGTAAATAAATAAATTTGTAGAATTATACACGGACTTTCCTCTACGTACATTGTTGCCCGACGAAGGCACCGGTAAGAGGCAGAAAGTTCGCAAATAAAAGTGTTTTAACGTAGAGAAAAGTTCGTGTATAATTCTACAAATTACAATTATACTTGTCGTAAGACAATAGCATTAAGTCTGGTACATTTTTAAATACTATATTCTTTATTTAGTCCATGAGTCTTCTAATTATTTAAAATCTCTGAGGGAATAGATTGTTTGTTTGTTTGGAAGTAAGCACAAAGCTACACAATGGGCTATCTGTGCTTTACCCACCAAGGATATCGAAACCTAGTTTCTAGCGTTGTAAGTCCGCAGAC